GTTGCTCATAAATCTTGGTTATTTTTGTTTAAGTGTCTTCAATGTTTTGGTTGAATTTGATTCAGTTCATGCCATTTTACAGATTGATTTAAATACACCATGTATTGAGTTTTATTTAATTAGTGCTAACAAAGTGAATACTCATGTTACCTCCCACTCCCCTAACAGAAGCAAAGCATAGTGATGCTTTATCCACTCAGAGGTCAGAAAACACTGCAGCTTATTTTGCTGTCTGGTTGTATAAGTAACTTGGAAAATATTGGCAAGCTTAAGAGATGCTTAGTCTTGCTATACTGAAAATACTAAGTTGACCTCTAATATGAATGAGAATTTTGGAAAAGCTTCTATCATAGAGTATTTATTTATTACGATATCCACTCTTATAACAAGTTGGCTAATGTGGATTGCCTCTTCCCAATTAAATATGTTAATCTGTGGAGACCATATTTCACTTTTCATTAATACTTCTGTTCATAGTGATTTCATCATATTTCATTCTTATATCAAATGCATAGATTTATTCAATTAACAAGGACATTTTCACCGTGCTTTTGTTATAGTGATTCTGAACCTTCCATTCAATGATGTAATTAAAATAATTTCATTTTAAATTTAAGCAGCTGTTTGTTTTTGCAGGGACATGGTTGAAGTTTTTCCTTTATTTTATGTAAAAGAATTAAGCTACAAAATCAGTGTCATTATGTCATCTTTGAAAGAAATTGTGTTATAAAATTAAATGGAATAGTTAGAAGAATAGGATTCATTATAACATAGGATTCAACATTATAACATTTTTGTTAATAAGAAGTAAAATTTCTTGAAAATAATTACTAATTTCTTTAGTAATCACTTTATCTGAAAGAAGATGTTATTATTTTGGTATTTCCTTAAATTTATAGAAGTCCCTTTTCAAGATTATCCTGTATATTGACTGTCTCCTAAATCACAGACTTTAATCTTTTTTTTTTTTTCATTTGTTTTTTTTTTTTTTTTTTCATTTTTCTTTTATTATTCATATGTGCATACAAGGCTTGGTTCATTTCTCCCCCCTGCCCCCACCCCCTCCCTTACCACCCACTCCACCCCCTCCTCCCCCCCCCCTCAATACCCAGCAGAAACTATTTTGCCCTTTTCTAATTTTGTTGTAGAGAGAGTATAAGCAATAATAGGAAGGAACAAGGGTTTTTGCTGGTTGAGATAAGGATAGCTATACAGGGCATTGACTCACATTGATTTCCTGTGCGTGGGTGTTACCTTCTAGGTTAATTCTTTTTGATCTAACCTTTTCTCTAGTTCCTGGTCCCTTTTCCTATTGGCCTCAGTTGCTTTAAGGTATCTGCTTTAGTTTCTCTGCTTAAGGGCAACAAATGCTAGCTAGTTTTTTAGGTGTCTTACCTATCCTCACCCCTCCCTTGTGTGCTCTCGCTTTTATCATGTGCTCATAGTCCAATCCCCTTGTTGTGTTTGCCCTTGATCTAATGTCCACATATGAGGGAGAACATACGATTTTTGGTCTTTTGGGCCAGGCTAACCTCACTCAGAATGATGTTCTCCAATTCCATCCATTTACCAGCGAATGATAACATTTCGTTCTTCTTCATGGCTGCATAAAATTCCATTGTGTATAGATACCACATTTTCTTAATCCATTCGTCAGTGTGGGGCATCTTGGCTGTTTCCATAACTTGGCTATTGTGAATAGTGCCGCAATAAACATGTGTGCAGGTGCCTCTGGAGTAACAGTCTTTTGGGTATATCCCCAAGAGTGGTATTGCTGGATCAAATGGTAGATCGATGTCAGCTTTTTAAGTAGCCTCCAAATTTTTTTCCAGAGTGGTTGTACTAGTCTACATTCCCACCAACAGTGTAAAGGGTTCCTTTTTCCCCGCATCCTCGCCAACACCTGTTGTTGGTGGTGTTGCTGATGATGGCTATTCTAACAGGGGTGAGGTGGAATCTTAGTGTGGTTTTAATTTGCATTTCCTTTATTGCTAGAGATGGTGAGCATTTTTTCATGTGTTTTTGGCCATTTGAATTTCTTCTTTTGAGAAAGTTCTGTTTAGTTCACTTGCCCATTTCTTTATTGGTTCATTAGTTTTGGGAGAATTTAGTTTTTTAAGTTCCCTGTATATTCTGGTTATCAGTCCTTTGTCTGATGTATAGCTGGCAAATATTTTCTCCCACTCTGTGGTGTTCTCTTCAGTTTAGAGACCATTTCTTTTGATGAACAGAAGCTTTTTAGTTTTATGAGGTCCCATTTATCTATGCTATCTCTTAGTTGCTGTGCTGCTGGGTTTCATTGAGAAAGTTCTTACCTATACCTACTAACTCCAGAGTATTTCCTACTCTTTCTTGTATCAACTTAAGAGTTTCTGATATTAAGATCCTTGATCCATTTTGAGTTAATCTTGGTATAGGGTGATAACATGGATCTAGTTTCAGTTTTTTGCAGACTGCTAACCAGTTTCCCAGCAGTTTTTGTTTGAAGAGGCTGCTATTTTCTCCATCGTATATTTTTAGCTCCTTTGTCAAAGATAAGTTGCTCATAGTTGTGTGTGGCTTCATATCTGGATCCTCTATTCTGTTCCACTGGTCTTCATGTTGTTTTTGTGCCAGTACCATGCTGTTTTTTATTGTTATTGCTTTGTAATATAGTTTGAAGTCAGGTATTGTGATACCTGCATTGTTCTTTTGACTGAGTATTGCCTTGGTGCTATTCGTGCCTCTTGTGTTCCATATAAATTTCACAGTAGAGATTTTTCAATCTCTTTAATGAATGTCATTGGAATTTTGATGGGAATTGCATTAAACATGTAGATTATTTTGGGCGGAGTATCGAGACATTTTTACTATGTTGATTCTACCAATCCATGGCATGGGGAGATCTGAAATTTGTCTCTACAATGAAAATTTCTACCATGGTAGTTTACTTATGATAAGTATGCTTTCAATAATAACTTTGAATATTTAAGTTTCAGTAAAATGAACTGGTAATGTTTAATCTTTACCATGGCCAAAATGACTGTAATGTCAACCTGGTTTACCCTAACCTACCTATAAGCAAAGTATTTTATCATGAATATGTTGCTGAGTGAAAAAGAGATTTTGGAAATTTACCTGTGTCCTGCAACTGCTTTAGTGTTGTGCTAAGGTAACATGCTGTAACCTGCATGGCTATAGTTTGTGGCTGGTGGAGCTTCCCTCCTACAGGAAGGTTTGTTGGGGTTACGGGGTCTTCACTCCTCAATTTCACAGTGGCTGCATTATTTCCCTTTTCCACTCTGTTTGTGTATTGTACGGAACAAAAGCAACAGGGGAATGAAGATGTGGACATCAAAGGCCATGTCACTGATCTAGTGTCAGTTCATTCTTCACTACCATGCGCTTAGTCAAAACAAAGGGCAGTTTCACCTAAACTCCTTGCTAGAACCTGTACAAATTAAATTTATTACATTTTGATGCCTGAATTCATGTCTTTTTAATTTCATGTGTGAAGAAGTGAGAATAACGCCATTGCTTGCTCCTGATGGTTGTCCCCAGGGAAAATCACATATCATTTGAGTTGACGGCAATTAATCTGTCACTTGTTTTTCTGGTAGGTGCCATTGTTCCTTAGAGAATGACAAACTATGGTTATTGGCACACTTTTTCTTGAAATGTATAGAGTAAGGAGAACAACTGACAGCATTGTTAGCCATGGTTAATTTAGGCTTTTGATCAAAAAATTAAATTTCGCAGAAAACTTCTATCTGCCACCAAAGGCTTGGCAGATTCTTAGTACTTAGATTCTCCTGAAGATAGCGATTTTTTTATAATAGGATTTTTAATGAAATGATTGTAATACTGTTGTGTAATGAATTGAGTCTATAGATATTTACAAATGATCAACAGCTAGTGCCAGAAATCACATGGAGATTAAAGATCTATTCAAAAATGAGCACAGATCTTAGTGTGAAAGTATGAAAGGTACATTGGTATAGATTTAGATTCCGGTATAGCCAACTAATTCTAAGAGATTACTCCTTGTCTTTTTTGTTTGTTGTTGTATCAGGTGTATTCCATAGTTATTCAAAAGGGATATTAAAAATATCCTTTTTCTAACAATCTCTGTCAGTCCAGATTTTCTTAAATCAAAACAATGCATTGTTACAGATCAAATGCAAGAGGGTTTGAGAATCCAGTGTGTTGTAAAAGCTGGCCATTAAAGAAATTTGTTAAAAAAATGTAAATTATTGGATTTTATGCTGTTTTAGGAAAATAATTATTTTTAATAAAAATACATAGTACATAAAGTGGGTTTAAATTTTAAATGAATTACTGAATGCTTAAAACTGAGTTTTAACTGCTGATAATGGTACATATCAATGATAAAACCTGCATAAATAGAAACTTTTTGGAGACTTCAGTACTTACAAAAATGTAAAGATACTGAGAGCAAAATCTTGAGACTCGCTTATGTAGAGTTTAAGTTATCATTTCTTTAGTCTTTTGACATATAGGAACAAAATATTTTGTGCAGTATTTCATGATAAAATGATCTCATTTAAATCATTTTTATTTGGTTGGTTCTACGATGTCATGCTAATTAAGCTATTACCCTTCTTAACATAGAAGAAAAACGTTTTTTCTATTTTGTCTTTATCAATTTTCATAGTGATGCTGAGGCGAAAACAACACGGCTAGAGTCTCATTCTGAAATGGGGAGCACTGAAATTCTGGAAAAGGAGACTGCAGAAAGTCTCAGTAACGGTACTAGCAGCAACTTGGAAGCAGCCAAAAGACTGGCCAAACGGCTTTATCATCTGGATAGATTCAAAAGATCTGATGTTGCCAAACACCTGGGCAAGAAGTACGTTCTGACTCAAGGCTACTGACTGAGTCTCTCTCTCTCTCTCTCTGTCTCTCTCTGTGTGTGTGTATGTTTAACAGTTCCATTTCAGTAAACAAGGTCTATTCTGTTTTCTCACAGCAATGAATTTAGCAAAATAGTTGCAGAAGAATATCTGAAGTTTTTGATTTACAAGGAATGAACTAAATCAGTCTCTCAGGTATGAAAAAAAACAATTCTTTTCTTCCTTGCCTCCAAATAATGAATTCTTAGAAAGAAATTAATGTACTCTTGCTAGATTCTTTTTACATGCTCCTAGTGTGCTTTGGGTTTAGCTTATATTATGGAAACTAAATACAGTAAGAAAAACATATTAAGGAAAATGTGCAGAGATTGCAAGCAGAGTGTAGAGAAAATGTATTGTTTTAATGGAATAAGCATGAGTACGGTTTCTGCATCTAATGGTAGGCATCCAGATGCATAGCAGAGAATGGTGGCAGAGTAAATCTGTAGAAAAATATAGACTCTGAGACACTCTTTTCATTTCTTACTGCATAACAAAAGTTTGGCAATCTTAACATTTTTAAAGATGCAGTCAGAAGTATTAAACACGTCCTAATGTTGTACAGCCATCCATTTCTATAGCACGCTCCATCTTGCTAAAAGTAAGCTGTATACTGCCAAACAAGAACTCCCTTTTCTCCATCACACTCTCTAGAAACCACTGTTCTCTGACGTTTTATGATTTTTGACTACTCTGATTACTTTAAGTGGATTAATACAGTAATTGCCTTTTCATGGTTACTTTATTTTACTTATTAAGCGTAATAGCCTAAAGGTTTATCTATGATGTAATGCACGGCACAATTCCCTTTCTTTTTAAAGGCCACATACCACCATTTTCTTACCCAGTTATCAATAGACAGGTTGTTTCCCTATTTTATCTGTTGTGACTAATGAGGCTGATCATGGCATACAGATGTCTCTTCGAAACCCTACTTTACTCTTTTTAATGGGGAATTTGAGTTTTGGATGATCAGTTAAAAAAGTTTAGACTAAAAATGGTCCTTTCCATAAGCCTTTTAAGATATTTTGAAATTAACTCTTGAATGCAATAAAAACAACTGAATATAATCACAGAAAATATATGCAAAACTATTCTAACAACATCTGTATTGTGATGACGTTTTCAGATGAAGATGTTTAAAACACATAGATTCTCAGTTTTCACATCGTACTTTACTGGAAATTTCTATGAGTTGCTGAAGGCAGAACCTAGTCTACATTTAATCCTATAAATTACTTATAAAATGTCTCTACCTAGAAGAGTTCTGAGATCATCTAGAAGAATCCTGTAAGTTTACAAATCAGGAAACTCAGGCCTAGGAGGTGAAGTGAGAATGATTGTGTTAGACTGGCTCTTTCAATGAATTGAAGGAACTTAGATTTTTAAGTGAAAACAGCTAAAAGTGACCCACCTTTCCTGGGCCTTCTCCATGTATTGGCCACCCTGCTATTGCCCTGCCACTTCTCATATTGAGGCTTTATAGATTTAAATATCAATAAAACTATATCGAGTGGCCCTTTAGTAAGTGAGTTTTTGAAAATACTTTGTATGGTTAATCTTAACATATGTTCATATAAATTAACTGTCATATATAAAGTATGTGGTAAATTTTCTAATTTTTTCCCTTTTAATTCTTTCCTAGGTATTTCTTTAAAGCTTTTTCTCTTGTGGGAGAAACTCAAGAGCGAGAAAGAGTACTAATACATTTCTCCAATAGGTACTTCTATTGCAATCCAGATACCATTGCTTCACAAGGTAATCTGATGGAAATCCTTAAATTTCTTTTTTAAAACAGTGGTTATTTTCCTTTTACAAAAATTACACTTTATTTTTGAAATTTTTTAAAAGAAAATGAATATCAACTATCTCTACCTAGAGATAAGTCTTATTAACTCTTTATTTCCTTCTAGTCCATTTAATGTCCAATTGGAATCATTAATTTTGTTTTCTGTTTTCCCTGTTAAATATCTTTACAACATATAATATTCTTTATTCTTTTATTTTACTGTTTTTCATTTCCATAGTGTGACAGCTTACCTTATGTACTCTTGAGATTTCATGTGCAGATCACATTGTAGTAAATTAATTGACTGTCTTGCTTGGTTTTGGAAACATTTACAAATCTCTTTGGAAGTTGTGGTATCTTTGTGGTTTTGTCTGATATTAATTGTAATACCGCTACTACTGACTTTCATTTATAATTTTAACAAACTATGATATTATGTTTATGATACTGCTTTTACAATGTAATTTTAAGCTATTTAATTGTTGACCTACCCAGAAAGAAAGGGTCTTTTTTTTTTTTTTTGTATTTAAATCCCTGTGGTAAAGCAAAACTCAGTTTGAAGTTGAGCACGTTCACTTGCAATGGAAAACATCTCATAAGCTTATAGATTCTGAAATATATCACTGAGACTAGATGTACAAGAAATAGTAATTATCTCTTAATAGAGACCACCTGATATTGACCAAGGTACTCACTTAGTCAACCTGCTCCCATAGCCTATGATTACAGTTAATTCACCATCTGATTGTTAAGGTCACAATCCTATCTGCAACCTGTTACTACTATTTCTATCCCCTTCGGGATTAACTAGAGAATGCAAGAGATACAATAGGGTTGTTATCATTGGAACCTTCAAATCTCCAGGAAAATAGAGAATAAGGATTGGCTGTTGAAAGGGAAATTTGAGAGCTGGCTGCTGAGTTTTATAATAATTTCAGGAAATTGTCTTAAATGTGTTTAGAACTTGTAATAAGAAAATAGAACTGGAATACATACACTATGAGGCATTTAGTAGCATCTGCTTAGAGATATAGCAACCACCTGTTATACTAGGTTAAAAAACTTCTTCCTTTAATTTATGAATGAGTCATTAGAAAGTCCTTCCTGTACTTTTTTTTTTTTTTTTGGTGGTGGTAGTAGGGTTTGAACACAGAGCCTTGTGCTCGCTAGATAGCCCCTGTACTGCTTGAACTACACCCCAAGCCTTTTTTTTTCCCCCTTGATTATTTTTCAGAGAGTCTCTTGCACTTTTTCCCAGAGCCAACCTCAGACTGTGATCCTCCTATCTATGCCCTCCTATGTAGCTGGGATTATAAGTATGCACCACCATACCCAGCTTGTTTGTTGAGGTAGAGGTCTTGCTTACTGTTTTGCCTGGGCTAGCCTTGAACCTTGATCTTCCTAATCTCCACGTCCCGAAAAGCTGGATTACAGGCATAAGCCACTGAGCTCAGCTCCCTTCTTGTACATTTACCATTAAATAATAGCACTTCCTCTGCATATGCAATTCTGTCATCTATTATACTTGGACTGAGAGTTAACAGAGAGAGGATAAGGAGAACAAGTAATTCTTATTGGAAATGAGGAACTTGACTCCTCTTGCTTTTTCTTTTACTGTATAAGGTAAGAAGAAAGTAATAGTTCCATAATTCCATTTAAATATGAAACAGTCTTTCAGATTTGGGCAGCATTTTCCCTCTATTTACTTTTATAAACTTCATAGAATATTTCACTATTATACTTTTAGTTTGATTAAACCATTCAGCCTATATATGGCCTTTAGAGAATGGAAAGAAAAGGAGACTTATTCCCATGATATTTTTAGCTAGATACATAATACCCAAATGTTAAATTGTAGTAAACTTACATCTTGGTTTTCTTTAACTTTAATGTCTTTTCAACTCACTTTCTTCCTGGAAAATTAAAAAATGTACAGTATTAAATAATTCATTTTCATTTTTATACCAAGGGTTAGAGAAAATATAAATAAAAACATAGAAATGATAGGTTCATGACCCAGAGATGATCTCTTTTAATATTATGATATATATTCTTCTAGATGTGTTTTTGTTTAAATAAAATCATATGCCACGTGATGTGTTTTTTATGTAATTCATTGTCAAATATCTTTCCATTCAACGACATACTTGGACATTTTTAATGACTCACATAAGCATTGCATTTTTGGAGGGTGATATTTCCTTGTCTCCCACTGTAAACGGTGTCTGTGTATTCTTAGTAGATTGCTTTGGGTAAAGCTCTAGCAGCATTGCTGTGTTAAAGGACACTGTTTACACAGGTAGTGTCAGATTGACCTCCAGAGGGTTGGGAACAATTTATCAATGAAGGTTCAGCCCTGTGCGCTGAGGTCCTTTTTATAACTGGTTCTTACCCATCTTGTATCTGCCCAAAGAAATATGATGAGTTGTGTTTAGCACAGTATTGTTTTCTTAAGCTCTCACTGAATGCTATTTTGACATGATAACAATAAATGGTGAGTGAATGCTTTCTGTCCTTCTTTCTTAGATGGAGTGCACTGCCTTACCTGCGCCATGATGCTGCTTAACACCGATCTCCATGGCCACGTAAGTGCAAGGCTTGTGATGCTGACCTGCAGAGATCTACATTTTCACCAGTGCTTGTCCTTGCTTCTGTGTCTGTAAACAGTTGTTCTCTGCCTTCCTTTTGTTTGTTTTCCTTGTGGTTCCCATGGCAGGAAGATAAGTATAAATCTTCAAAAAAAATAAAGGCTTTTTATTTTACATGCTAGCACAGAGCATAACTTAAAGTACATAGCACATCGTCTAGGGGCCTGGAGTGGTTTGCGCAGTAATGTGTGTGTTCTGCGTCTTATCTCTCCACCAGGTGGCAGTCAGAGGTCATACTTGTTTTTGTTTTTTGTTTTGTTTTGTGTTTTGATGAGTTGTTGATACAGTGTTGGAAAGAGAATGTAAGTTAGATCTGAAAACATCATACGCATATCTTAGACTTAGCAGTAAGTCTAAGAATTCAGCCTTTTTTTCATTCCTCAGCTCACTTAGTTTTTTTAACTAGCTAAAATATATAAATAAAAAATATGAAAATAACTTAATGCCTTCTATTTAAAATAAAGGATGTACTTCGTACATTTATATTTAGAGATAAGCTTTGAGCTTTCATCGAAGTGAAATGCATTTTAGCATTCACTTTATTGCTTCATATTAGAGAAAATGAGAACTTTTAGTTAAATACAGATTAATCTCTACTTATTTAGAGCAAAATTATTTCAGTTCCAGGTCCATTTATTTTGGAGAAAAAGATCAATTTTCTGTGTAATTGAAGAGCATGTAATCTAATCCCTTGGTTTGCTATAATATCATTTACTTTATAATTTAACAAACTACATTACAAGAACTAGTATTTATATATTTGTTCTACTAATTCAAATGGCCACATGACTCCTCTTTTAAAAAGTCAAAAAAGCGCTGTATGGCAGCATGAAGTTGGAGTAGCTCTTTGAGAGGACATGGGGTACGGAAAGGGCTCCCCAGTGGCCAAGGGGCAAAGCCGTAGTGATAGAATCAGAATTTTAGCTCTGCCTTCACATTAGCTCCAAATACTCAACTCAGAAGTTCTTTCTCAGTTCATAAAAGGTGGATGTAGAGTGACTTTAGTGACTTGAAGTCATGTAGCATGTGTAGATTATGCAAGCAAAGAATAGAGATGCTTTCAGGGCTTTAATGCCTTGTGTGGAAATGAAGGTGGTGTGGTCCTGAAGTGAGGTGTAGAATTCAGTGGCATTCTTCTAGCTTACTGAGTAGCTGACCAGTCCAAGGATTGCACTGACCTCTATTTTCCTATTAACTGGCAAGCACATTTTTACTACGTTCCGTCTGCCATTTTGTGATAAATTATACCCTGCCCCTGCTTTCCCTTCCATTCCTCAGTTCTTAACTTTTTGGACAAAAAAGGATAATTTGGAGAATTAATGTCCACGTATCACACAAATGAAGCCAGTGGTTCGCAGCACGAGGAAGCCTCTTCACATCACACACTTTGAAGCCTCATCAGCATATGAGATTTGTATATTTAGCATGTTTTGATTGAGAAAATGATGGAAAGCTCTAGTAATAGTTCAATTCTTATTCAGAGGTTGAGTGTCATAGAATTTTTATAGACATTGTTAGCTTTGGTGGCCTTGGGTTCTGTTAAACAAGACTAGACTGCTTTTTAAACAGCTAATATAGCTTTAATAAGACTTTGAAATACATGTGCATTTTGTTACTCATAACAATTTGAAATATAGCAGCAAATAAAGATTTGAGATAACTCACCATGGTTGAGAAAGGTTTGGACACCCTAGTGTTTGTAGCCCACAGGTTCAGAACCACAAATCTAGTATGTCTTCCCTTGCCCTATCTTCAGACAACTTTTGAGGAAGTTTTAGGAAGATTAAATAAATCATTATGTGCCAGAGGTCGGGGGTGCACATCTGTAATCCTGCCACTTGGGAGGCTGATGCAGGAGGATCTTGAGTTTCAGACTTTGTCTCAAACAAAACAAGCATCATGCGTCCCTTTGGGACCTGGAATAAACATTTTAGCCAATTTAGGTAAACAGCTGGCTGTTGTTTGGTAAATTACTTCTATAAAGGGACGAAAAAAATAGTAAATCTTTTTCTGGTCAGTACTGGGTTTTGAACTCAGAGCTTGCTAAGCTTGCTAGGCAGGTGCTGTACCACTTGAGCCACTCCACCAGCCCTGTTTGTATTGGGTTCTTCGAGGTAGGGTCTCTGGAACAATTTGCCTGTGCTGGCTTTGAACCACGATCCTCCTGATCGCTGCCTCCAGAGTAGCTGTGATTGTAGGTGCGAGCCACTAGGACCAAGCTAATCATAGTAAATATTTCTGTATCAGATTTGGTTTTAGAAGTATACACTGCTAGGTAGAAGATTGTCTAGCAGTTAGGTTTTGTTATATTAGTGTTCTTTATTATTTACAGTGCAGGGTGTTACAAGTCTATTGAATGTATAGTCACTATCATAAGAACTAATCATATGAAAATGTCTTTCTCTTGTCTTTCCATCTGGATTCATTTAAAAAAAAAAAACTTTCCTTCTAGGTGGTAAGTCTTTATTCTTAATTCTGGATGTAGCTTCTCTTGCATCATGGTGCCTGATGTATTGTTACACTGTGTGTCTGACTGATTAGCATGATCCATATAAAGTTGAATCATTCAGAAGATAAAGTGAAGTATTTTGAATATCTGCTCCTTTCTCCATCTCCTTATTGCTGTACTGGGGCCATTGATAGACACTACTCAATCTAGTGCCCCAATAACCCTCTTGGGGGTAATCTAATAAGCCATTCTCCTTTTCTTCTTTACCATTGTGTCATCATAGCAATGCAACAGCATGATTTCTCCAAGAAGTGCTAAGACCAGCTTGTTCTCATGCTTTTAGTGGGGGAGGCTGATTTGGGAGATTAATTTACTTTGGCTGATTTTTGTGACTCTTTACTTTAAGTAACCATGCCCTGAAAATGCATTGGTATGGGCCTTTGGTTGGCCTGCCATCATCTAATATTCTTACTAGTAAAAGGATGGAATGTGCACTAACATAATACTCTAATATATAGCTCCATGTTACATGCTGAAATGCTTTCTGTTTCCTATTCTGATGTATTCTCTCATTCACCAAACACCAGTCATGTTCCTGTTCCATGCCAAGTTCTGTGCCATTTGGGTTAGGATCAGTGTTCATGGAAGTCAAATCTCCTCTGATAGTGTTGGCATTAGGCAGATTTAACAATACATGATTAGTATGTACCTTAGATACTGTGGTCGAAAAATACTGGTAAGATATTTTAATTTCACATGAGTTATAGCTATAACTCACTAATTAGAATAGCAAAGAAGCTGTGTAAACCATATACAATAGTTTTCTGGAGAAATTCACTAATAATCAGTGTCTGGTTTTAAAAAAATGAGTGCTTTGTCATTATTTTGGCAATAATACTGAATTGCTTTTACTTGTCTGCAGGTAGCTTATTTTTGCTTAAAAATTTTATTATGATCATATGGCTGTTTTGTACATAATCCCTTTGATTTTTAAAATGCTTCTTCAGCTGCAAAATGTATGTACAAATTAAAGATCTATACATATAAATTTCTATTAAAACAAACTTGAGTTTATCCTTTGCTCTAATGAAACCAAGTGTGTTGAATATTGCCTGAACTATCATCAAAGAGCTAAAAATCTTTTCTTTTGTTGTTTAAACCTTATATCTATTGGAAGTATTATGAATAAAAAGATTTGACATGTCAGAATAAGTTCAGACTAATCTTCAAATGTGTCGTGTCGACTGCAACTAGCTAGGCATCTTGTACTTTGATCATAGTCAGGATTTAGCCACCCTGGCAGGATTATTGCCCAGCCAAGTGACATGTGGCAGGGCCTGGATGGTAGGCTGGCCCTTCATAGCATAGCCTCCTGGGATAGGAAGTTTCACATGTAGAGTAGACTTGCAGCATATAATGAGATAAATAGGAGGATATATGGTTTATTTTCAATAGTGGAAAATGGCTATTATAAAAAATTATAATTTAACAATTAAAATACTTTTATTTCTTCCTATTTTCTATTTTCTATTTCCACACTTAAAACACCACAGCCCTGCATGAGGTCAGTAAACTATATGTGGTTACTGTCTGCAGAAAGTCTCTATTTCTGTAATTATCATTACTGTAAGAAGCAGCTGCCTTTTGCCTGCTTCACTCCCTTCCTGTGGATACCTCTTCCTGTCTATACTGCCCTATGTCCTCTCCTGTGAAACCTATCCTTGGGTTCATTTTTTTTCTTCCTGAGCTTTACCTTGCTATACATTCCAGACATGATCTTAGTTTCTGTTAAGCCAACACTTCCCTTGGAGCTCTTTTCTACCTCCCTTGTGGCTGCTATGTCTTTTCTCCTGATTGGGAGCTCCCCAGCCACAGAGCCTCCACCAGACTCGCTCATCCTTTGGGGCTTCTCAGTAATGCTGAAAGTTGGCAGATGCAACAGGAGTGGGTCTCCATTACTGAGGGTTTCTAGTGAGGTGTACATTCATTTTCTCCATTATTATTTTTATAACCAGAATGAACATTTCTGGGTAGCTTGAGCATCTAACCATTAGCTCTGGGAATGTTTTTATAGAAAAGTGGCACAATTTGAAATTTTTTGATTTTAAAATGACCTTTAGAATGAATTGCAGCTCACTATCATATTGGCAGCCATCTAGATCTTAATAGGAATCCTTATTGACAGTGAAAGTTTAATCATGCACTGTTGGATTCTGTGACCCCATAAAATCTCCTCCTCCCACACTTCTCCTTCCTCACTTCTTTTTCTTCCTCCTCCATTCTTCCTCCTTTTCCTCCTCCTTCCTCTTCTTCTTAACTTCTGCTTTTCTTAGAACAGGTTCATATGGGAAATAGATCAGGATAGCTTTTATCAGTTCAGTGAGGAGGACTCATTAGGTCCCTTGGATGATCTAGTTTATATGTTATTCATTCACTGCATATTTTTCCCTCTGATCATTGTGGTAAGAAGGTGATGAGGAAAGCAGGTTAAAATCAGTAGTAAGTTAGATTAAACTCTGTGAAGTCAGTTTTGTACTTCTTTCCTAGAAATGGCTGGAGCAGGGAATGAGTAAGGATGAAGAGGATAAATGAAAGCTAAATCTGACTTCTAATCCCATTACTTATTCTTGTCCTATGATAATCAAAAGTAAAGTTTAGTCTTCACATTTTGTGTTTCCCTTTGTTTTCTTAAATTTTAAAGAAAATGCATTCTATTAAATACTGATAGAATCTATTCTTATAGTACTTATCAAACTATCCCCCCAAAATTTTTGAGATCTATACCCCCCAAATTTTTGAGAACCCCAAAAGCTTTTTTGTATATATTCATACCACATTAGAAACTAAACTAATACCATTTAAAATACTTAATCATTAAAACCTTTTCAATAAATGACATAGTTTTTATGATCAAGACTTACACTTTCCCAGATGAAAAAAATTAGTGAAATGAAAAAAAATTAAATTTTTGCAACTCTTTAAAAATATTTG